CTTGTGAGACTCAGCTCTTTTTTATGACATTGTGTTCCTCCTTGAGGATGAGGAGGAAAGGACTATGCACGTGGATTGGCCAAAGTCAATGGTCCACATGGTAAGCCCTCTCCCTTCCAAACTTCCTCGTAACTTGCATATGAATGCTGTGAATGCCATGAATCCTATGGGGGCTACCTCTAGTTGGCAAGCATTTTTCACTGAAGGCAAAGGGAAAGGTAAAAATAAGGGGAAGGGTAATATGAACAAAGTGAACCCACATAGTAATTCAAAGGGGAAGAAGTTGTAAACTAGGCCCATGTTGCCTCCACCTCTTTCTAACGCCCCTAATGAAGGTAGGAAGGCTAAAGAGCAAGCTAGTGGAAACCAAGGAACGGGCCCATAGCCATCTAATCAAGATTTCTCAACTGTTCAATGTTTTAAATGCAAGAAATTTGGGCACACAATCAAGTTTTTTAAGTATCCACCTTTTCTTCCCCCACCTCAAACCGCCATTGGTAGGTCTCATGCTAATACCGTTGCACAAAAAGGAAAGAGTATTAGCAGCCTTAGGAGCCATGATAGCTAATGAGGGTTCACTTAAGCAGAACCGCATATCTGAATTACGAATTCCTCTTAACCCTTGGACTCCTAGGAAATCTATGAGGTGTGAGAGAAATAAATTTGAGCCATCCATCCCAAAAATCAGCCATCATGATTTAGGGAAGAATCTAGGAACCTTAACCCTTGAATCTTTGACCCATATCCATTCTAGTCGACCTAGGGTAAGACTAGTCAAAAGTCATCTTTTATTTTGTTCAAAACCAAAAGGATTTTATTAAGGAATTCAAAACCAAAAGGATTTGGTCAAATTCAAAGATTGAAAGCACATTTTCCGAATTCCGAATACAAATTGAATTTTAATATTTTGCAAATATAAAATTCTCTACTCCCACGAATTATGCTTACAAAATCATTTTCAATGATTTCCTCAATATTTCGTCTCACAAAAATCCTTTTAAAAATATTTACATAATTCTTAAAAATCAATGACAAGACATGGGCATCGTCACTAGGCTGTATGTGTGGACCATATGGACTGGACTTCTCACACCCATGTGGGGCCCTCAGCATGTGGGGCTGAACCCTTGGTCCCCCTACATTCCCCTTCGAACTTTTAGAGATTATGCAAACACCTTTTTCGGATTTTTTATTGCAAGAAATGATTTTAAAATTTCCATAAAAATTCTAAACATGACAAACATTTCTTAAGCTGAAACAAAATTTCTAGAAGTGGAAATTAGTACCAATGGATCAAGAATAATGATTGTTAGGGCACTCTACTTGACCCAGTAACCATGATCCTCGAGGATCTTCACAAACCAACCTAATGAGACCGATGACCCATAGTCTCTTGCAGGGGCTCATGATTGGCACGTCAAGCTGACTAATAAGTAGTGAAAACATGCTCCTGGAATTTGGATTGTAGGTTCCCCCCATAAGAGGAAGTCATGCACACATATTATTATAACACGGGGACTCTCTCTATGCACAGATGCATTGTATCCCTTTGTAAAGTTGCTTCCTAATATGTGGTTGATATGTGCACATATTGTACGAAAGTGTGTTGAGGATTTAACCATCCTCTCATAAGGCTGCAACGGTACACAGGAGACTACAAAACTCTCCTAGCCTACAAACTAATGAGCATCTCTTTGTTTCAACAAGGGTCAAGGGTTGACCCTCTAGAAACCCTCAATGGTAGTACGTTAGGTCAGCTATCCAACACACAATCCCACTGAAATGTACACCCCCCTATAATTTTTATTTATGTGCTGATGCAAGACAAGATGTATTATTTTTTATATTTTTCTTATGAAAGTTAAGGATGTATTTTTAAAATTTTCTAGGGTTATTTTCTTTGGTTTTTTAAGTTTTTTTAGGGATTCTATGATTTTTTATATTTTTTAGTTCGGTAAACCTATGGTAGCAAGAAGAAATCGAGGCAGGGACATTCATATGGATCCACCTCGTGATGAGCAGGAGCAAAAGATAGAGGATTTTAGTTGGCAAGTTCAAAGCCTCACAAGGCAGCTCGTGGGCATCGATTTTGGGCGAGATGAAGTTTTGTCCATTCAAGACATTGTTGAGTACAATCTTTTCATGATCGTGCTATGCAAGATGAATCGAATGAAGGGGAATATCGTTGGAGGTATAGGTGGCACTCAAAATCAATAGATCTAAAAGTAGATATTCCTGATATTGAAGGAAAGTCGCAGCCCCATGACTTTATGGACTAGTTAAACATAGTAGAGAAGGTCGTTTGTTACAAGGATGTGTAAGAGAATAAAAATATGAAAATTATTGCCATTAAATTGAACAAAAGTGTTTCAGTATGGTGGGAATAGCTGAGAGCAAGGCGAGAAAGAATAGGAAAATCTAAATTTTGTCGTGGGAGATTTTGAAGAAAGAGAAGAAGAATAATTATTTACAGTCTTTATATCAGAAGATGCATGTGTTGTGCCAAGGAGATATGTCGATGGATGAACACATATGAGTTTCACCTCTTGACTGTCTGTAATGATGTGATTGAGTGGGAGAAGCAGTCCTTTGCCAGGTAAGTGAATGGACTGCGCCAATCAATTCTAGATGTGGTAGTTTTGCAGCAGTATTGGACCCTTGCTGAGGTCTATAGCCTTGCAAAGAGGGTTAATTCAACAAAAACAACCATCAAACATGTGGGGTGTGGGTGTGAGTGATGGGGAAATAGGGAAGCAGTCCTTGGTGGTAATTTTGGAAGAAAAAGCAGCATGACGGTGATGGTTCGACATCTCGTACTGCTGGAATGACCGACCAGGAAGGAGCCCTGAGCCAAAAAGGGGTTGTTTCGGGAGTTGGGTGACCCAAAAGGAGTGCTGGCAGCACTATTAAGTGCTATTAGTGTTCAGACATCGGGCATGTCTCATCACAGTGCCCAAATCGCAAGTTTGTTAACCTTTCTGTGTAGTTTTATGATGACGACAGCAAGCTATCTTTTGATAGAGATCCTGTTTATGATGAAAAACCTGAGGGTGATGAGACATAATTGATTTTTAGTAACCATGGGGAGGCTTTGATGATTCAGTGCAGCATGATTACACCTTAAGTAGTACATGAGGTAGATTCGTCAAATCCAACGAATTTCTCATCAGTTTGCTTCCAACATCACCAACTCATTGCTTGAGACTCTCCACTGGTCTTTGAGGAGAGTTTCAATGAAGAGTGATCCAATTTTTTATCAAGAACCAGGTGAAAATAAGGAAGGTGATAATGGTCAAGATGAAGATGATGAAGTTTTGGAAGACGAAGTTGCTGATTTGGTTAGTGAACTAGGCGTTGGAGATGATCATCTCGAAGTTACTACATTGAACTGTTCTAGGGCTGAACCAAGGCAATTTCAACAAGGTTATATGATTCAACTGATGCGATTTCAACAAGCTCATGCAGCTGAACAGATTGTATCGCCATACAGTGACACTTTTCTCGAGGCTTTCTCTAAAGTGTTTGTTGATATAACAATGGATTGTGAAGGCTCAGTTGCATTGTACAATCATTGTGTTTTCATTAGTCCAATAACTCACAAGTCCTAGGATTGTATAGTATTCGGGTAGAAGGAAGTTGCATGACTAACGCAAAATTCATCTTAGCTTATTTCAAAACTCGAGGACGAGTTTTCTCCAACCTGGGAAGAATGATGCAAGACAAGATGCATCTTATTTATGACTTTTTCTTATTAAATTTAAGGATGTACTTTTGAAATTTTCTGGAGTTATTCTCTTGGGGTTTCAAGTTTCTAAGGGATACTGGGATTTTTATGTTTTTTTAGGATTTTAGGTGATGTTTAGAATAGTAATGGAATTACTTATTTTATTAGAGGTAAATGCTTCAATACGAATTTCTTTTAAGTGCCGAGACTTATGGGGTATTTATATAATGTTTTAACTTAAGTGGGGGTAGTTTTGGTTTTTTGTGATTATCATGTAATAAAAGGGTATGGTTGCTAGGGTTTCTAACACATTTACGGCATGAATAGTAAAAACAGATTGTGAGTAGTGCCAGCAAGCCCTATCTTGGGTTCTGGTGTCACTTTTTTGTACAAGGAAAGCCAGATCCATTCAAATCTGGCCTTTTTTTGTGGTTATTCAACTGTTTTTTCTATTTTCTTTATTTTCATGCATCACATATACTCACGGCTTTAAAGGCCACAAACCCCAACAAAAGTTACAGCAACTTGTGAGAGTTCTGTAGTTTAAAGAATTTGTGTCACGGCTTGGTTAAGTGGTTTACACAACTCCAGCATCCTTTCCAATTCTTTATACTGCCTATCTCTAGAAGCCTTACTTTAGTTGCACTTTGTTTATCTGTTGACATTTAATTGATTCTTGGTTTGCACTTTTGTAGTCCATGTCATCATGTGGACGTTAGCACAAAAACTCGATATAAAGGAGCATAATCACAGAACAACTAGGAAGATGTCTTCTCTTTTACTTTGTTAAAATTTCAGCATGATCTTGTTTGCATGATCAGAATCTGATGGTCTTCATTTTACTTAAGTGATGCTTTTAAGGGAGGATGTTGATTATTCAGCTCTTCCTGTACTGAAATATGAATTCTGCTCTAAATTGGAGAACTTTCATAATCCCATGTTTCATTACATCGAAAAGTCTATTTCAACTAAAGTACACCTAACACATATTTGAGTGAACCAATGTCCATTGAGTGTACCGAAAGTACATCAATTCAGAACCATCATTCTTTTTTTCCCATTAAGTTTTGATGGTTATGTATGTTTTCATTTCTCCCGTTTTCATATCCATATATGTATTGTTTCCAGATTTATTACCTGGTAAGATGTGATTAGGCATTACTTTGAATCCACTAAGTGTTGAAAACAGTTATTAATTGAAGCACTTCTTTATGGATTGGTTTAAATATCATAGATTTGATGTGTTTCTTACTTAACACCATGCTTCCTACTGTAGGTGAATTGTTCTGTCCGAGGTGATCTTGGACCGGCTTGCAATTCTGCTGGAATGATTGATCATTATATTCTTGGTATTGAACATTTGTATAAGAAGCCCCTTTACAGAAACTTGAAGGTTGGTTCTTTCTGGATATATGGACCACATGGACAATGTTGATGTACTTGTGTTAGCAAAATTTTCTCTCCCTCTTTCAGGAGTGTCAGAGTTTGAATGACCACCATGTGGAAAATATACCTTCCTGGTGTTTAGCCCCATTTGAACCTGAAGACATTTTAAGGTGATTTTTTCTGTAAATTTGTTAGCTGACATCTTCATTAGTATCAAAATTATTTGATGGTCTAAAATTCTATTTCCAGGAAGGATTAGAGATCCTGATAATTATTTATGGCAACCCCTAGGAAGAAGCAAATGCATGGAATTGTGTTGTTATATGACCTTACTTGCTTCCAGATATGTAAATGTGGATAGGCATCATGGTTCAAATTCTGTAGCAATTTTCAATTTGGAAAGATATTTTTAGTATTCTAGAGCTCTACTGTGCAGGTTCTTCTTGATTATATGGTTTCTTATGGACTGTTTCAAAGTAGTCAGTAGCATTTTTTAAACAATAGAAGAGAGGCTTAGCTTCATATTGGATCTCCACTACACCAATAGTCAGGTTTATAGTCATCCGTTGGGGTCAATATCCTAGAGTTCATCTAATGCTGTTTATCACTGGAAATTTGGAGCAATCCCTTCCAGCTAGGATGTCATGGGTCCAGCTTTCAGCTTTTGATGAACGTAGGACAATATCCTGTTAATGAGTTTGATTCCCTTGAGATATCCACATGAGGTAAAATTTTAAACAATTATGCTTTTTGCCATGCAGGCAGCTGCTGCTATAGTGAGCCGTTGGTGTACTCAATTTGGTAGATTTCCCTTTGATCATGAAATGCAATGCTTATGATATTATATACAACTACAGGTGCCTCATAATCCTAGCAATCATAAGTGTGAGACATGGCTGAGAAGAGAGCTTGAAATATCTACAGCATGTGCTGGTGCTTTGGTTTCAGTGTAACTGGGTTGTTTTAGAAAGTTGGATTAGAAGTGATGCTGAAAAGCTCCTTGATATCTTCAAATTAGCAAAAATAAGAGAGAAAAAGCTTAGGGATCTAAACCACATTAAGTACATTAAGGGTGAGGATAAAAGGGTTTCAGTAAAGGATGATGAGGTCAACGAAAGGTGGAGAGTCTATTTCCAAAAATTATTAAATGACGAACAAAATAGGAACATGGTAGTTGAAGGGACTGTTGGTAAAAATGACGGTAGAGGTCATAGATACATTCGTAGGATTAGGATGTCGAAAGTGAAAGAAGCGTTTAAAATGATGAAGATAGGAAAGGCTTTAGGACTAAATAGTATCCTGATAGAGGTTTGGAAGTGCATGGAGGAAATTGGCATTGACTGACTAACAAAGTTGTTCAACAAGGTGTTGAGAAGAATGAAAATGCCAGAGGAATGGAGAAAAAGTATTGTAGTACCTATTTACAAGAACAAAGGAGACATACAAAATTGTGGAAACTATCGCGGGATCAAGCTTACAGCCATACTATGAAGCTCTGAGAAAGAGTCATTGAGTAATGACTAAGGCATGAAACAACTGTATCTGAAAACCAATTTGGTTTTATACTAGGAAGGTCAATAACTGAGGCTATTTTCGTACTTAGGCAACTGATTGAGAAGTTAGGGTGAAGGGAAAAGACCTCCACATGGTCTTTATTGATCTAGAGAATGCTTACGATAGAGTACCTCGACATTAGATTTGGTGGGTGTTGGAAAAGAAAGGTGTCTTTAGACACTACATCGACTTGGTGAGAGATATGTATGATGGAGCAGTTAGTAGTGTACGAACAACTAGTGGAGAGATTAGTGAGTTTTAAGTGACAATAGGTCTACATCAAGGGTCAACATTGAACCCGAACCTATTTGTCTTAGTTATGAACGACTTAACTAGGCACCTACAGGATGAAGTACCGTGGTGCATGTTGTTCGCAGATGACATAGTTTTGATTGATGAGATCCGAAACAACGTCAACACAAAGTTAAAACTTTGGAGAGATGCTCTAGAATCCAAAGGTTTTAAAATTAATCAGACTAAGACAGAATATATGGAGTGCAAATTTAGTAATAATAGTAGTAGAAACGAGGAAATAGTTAAGATTGACGGCCAGGAAGTACAAAAAAGACTGCACTTTCGATATCTTTGGTCGATAATCTAGGAAAATGAAGAGATCGAGGAAGATGTCGCACACAAAATTAGAACGTGGTGGGCCAACTCGAATTTTATGTGATCGCCGCATACGAATGAGGTTGAAAAGCAAGTTCTATAGGACATCGGTGAGAGCAACTTTGTTCTATGCGGTTGAATGTTGGGCGGACAAAAAAAATATACCCATAGAATGACTGTAGCGGAGATGAGGATGTTGAGATGGATGAGTGGCAAGATAAGAAGGGATAAAATTCGCAATGAATCTATTTGAGATAATTTAGGCATGGCACCAATAGGCAATAAAATGAGAGAGAGGAGACTTAGATGGGCTGGCCATGTGTGGCGCCGACCAAGTACAGCACCTGTTAGGAGGTGTGAGTTAGTTCGAGTGGAAGGACTAAAACAACAAGGGGTAGGCCAAAAGGACATCCGAAAAGATATGGGGACTTATGGCCTCACTGAAGATATGGCCTGTAATAGAGCAGCATGGAGAACCAAGATTCATGTAGTCGAGATCCCAATTAATTGGGAAAAGGCTAAAATGACGATGATGATGATGACTGAAAAACTCCTTGATGTTGATTGTAATTTGTAAACTATAATGAGATTATTTCCCTTGATTGCTTGCAAATGATTTGTTGGGATTTTGTGGCCATTTAAAGGCCTTATAGAGCACGTAAAACTATGACTATGGTGATATGATTACTCCAGTGGACCAAAAAATTATGGTTTAGAGTGGCCGAAGTTGGCAATATAAGCCCCCATGCACCAATTGTGATAAATATGCACAGGTCTGTGTGACGTAGGCTTGTCCCTAGGGGAAGTTGTAGTCCATAGACTAGGATTGTGTTATCATCACCTATTGACTGGCTTTGGTAGTCCAATCATGAACCCCTGTTATCGATTGTGGGTCATGGAAACTACTCGGTCAGTTTGAGAAAGTGAGCGTGGGACATAGTTACTAGTAGAGATTGAGTGCCTCAGTATTTTCGTATTTTCCTTAACGGTTGGATCTGATCCCCATCAAAATAATTTTAAAATAATTAATTTTGTTTAAATGATTTTTAGAGTATTAAAATAAATTTTTAAAAGTCTCTAGATGTTTGATTTTATCAAAATTAATTTTGATATTAGCTAAAACTGAATTTTTAGGTATTTAAATATGCAGAGAGAAAAAAATACTTGTGCATTTCCAAAAATCATTTTATTTCTTTTAGAATTTATTTAAGTTTGTGGGGGCCCAAAATTCATTGGGGTCGACCACATTTGGCAATTTAGATGGGGGCATGGGACCTATTATGGTCTCCATAAGTGGGATGCCCCACATTTTCTTGTTTCCATATTATATGACGTTGAATATGCCATCTAATTGATTTGAAATTGAAATAAAAAGTGAATTGATTTCAAAAGGGGAAGTTGTAGAGATTGATTGAAATAAAAAGGAAACACATAGCATATTTTCTCTACACAAAATAGTTGATTTGATTAGGTTAAGGAAACTGAGGGATAAGGTTCTAGTACCTTCATTTAGATCATGATGGCTGATCTAAAGATTGCAATTATCACTCTTGCATTTTGCCCTCACCTAGTAGTTCTCATTTTTTATGTAAACAAACTCAAAGTGATGCGCAATTGCATACTTGCTTAGCGCATCACGAAATTCATATATACTAGGAAATTCTTGACCTATTTCAGTTAACAATTTCTCCCATATATAGAGCAAACGAGGCATAATATTATGTCCGTTGTTGCCTTCCTCAAGTTTCGAAGTAGAGGACTGGAGCTGCACAACTTCGTTGTCCCTACCACATCTTCATTCACATCTATCGAAAACATAAATTTCTAACTCATTGCAACCTTCATGTGCAAACAACTTCCTTTCTACACCATGGTCACTAAATAAGGTAACAAGGCCGCTCTTGTTACTCGGGAAGATGTACTTAAGTGACACTGTAGATGACTCTATGGAGAGTTGGTCAGCTACATGTGCCTTTATCTCATCCAATTTTGTTTATTGATGAACTAAGAATGCACATGAACCTCCCCCAACATATTCCATGCTACCATTAGAGCTACTGCAAACTTCACTTCCATATACACAGGAACATTTGTCCATCCATGTTCATAACCTATAAGTTGTGTAAAAAATCTACAGTAGAAGCAATTTAAGCGAAATATCTAAGAAGTCGATGAAAGATTTTTTTTGTCTTCTTTAAAAATCACATGGTTGCACATTCTAAAACATCTAATAAAATATGTACTTTCAAAGACTCTTCACCTTAATGTGTTTCAAAGTCCTAAGAGGCAAGGGAGTACAATGACATGTGAAAAGAAGTGAACGATTTGAAAACAAAGATTCCAAAGTGTGAGAGACGTAAACATAGATAATTGCAATCATGGCAAGAACAAGCCATTAGATATAAAAAACTAAGCAATTGAATGAATGGGAAGTTGATCGTTTACATGAAGAAGCTCTAGAGCACTAAACAATCCAGTGTGTTTCATTGGAAGACATGCATTATAATTGAAATTTACAAACTGTCTTCAAGTACAATTATGCTCTAAATTTCATTTTTGACTTTTTATAAGAAAATCCATTCTTCTAAAACAGTCAGATGATTGCAAATGCCAAATTGTCATGTGTTCCCTGCTAAAGACACTCAACAACTATTTATCAGCATCAGTTATGGGTGAAAACTTAGAGCCATTACAACAATAGACTTAGAGAATCCATGAGCATTGCTAAATGGAACAGAAAAAGGAGAGACCAAACTACATAAATAATCATTAGCAGTATTTCTCCTCAAACAATATAAGTATGGGAGCATTTGTAATACCTTGTTACTCTGCCGCCCATAGGAAAAACTCTGATGCCTTTTCTAAAATCGTCAAAGGCCTTAAGAACACCAATACTAGCTAAAGCTTTGAGACTACTATCAACAGTAGATTTAGAGATAAAATGGCCTCAATCCTCAAAGGCCTTTATAGCTCTAGGAAACAAATCCTAACCCTGTCCAATATTCAATGCTAGTGTCCTTAAAAGCATGGCAGCCTACATACAAAAAAGGATATTGCCCACTCCCTTGCTTTCTACCCGTCACACCCCCAATCGGATATAAAGAAAGATTACACAGAAATCTGACTCAAAGTTTAAGTTCTAAAAATTTGAAAGGGAATTTTATAAAAAGGCTCAGATTCATTAGATAAGGATGGGCATTTAAAATAAAATATTGTTCATTATAAAACCAAAACAGAAATAGTGAAACCCCTAACCTGAAACTTGACCTCTGAATAGTGGGGAGAGAGAGAGAGACGGGGACAGAGAAAGAGTGGGGACAGAGAAAGACAGGACATAGAGAGAGAGTGGGGGTAATACGGAGGTATAGAGAGACGAGAAAACATAGGGAGAGAGTGAGGTCTGAAACACGAAGAGGGAGGGAGGGATTTGGGGAAACACGGGGGGAGGGGGGGGGGAGAGAGAGAGAGACAGGAGGGGGTAATATAGAGGAGAGAGAGAGAGACGAGGAGGGGTAAGTACGAGAGGAGAGAGAGAGAGACAGAGGAGGGTAGTACGAAGGAGAGAGAGGAGGGTAATACAGAGGGAGAGAGAGAGAAGGGGGGAGAGTCACAGGGGAGAGAGAGAAAAATTTGGGGGATTGACACGTGAAGAGAGAAAAATGATGGGTTTTAAAAGGGTTGTTTTTCTACAATTTATTTGGGTTTAAAAAAAGGAATAAAGCAGGTAAAGTTAGTCTAAGGGGTTAGAAGATATAAAACCTACGATTTCTATGCTCCAAGATATGTTTTGATACCTTGGGTCTATGGAGTTATAACACCTAAAACTAGGGGATACAAAGATATTTTCCCAAAAATTGTTGTGTAACTTCATTTGTGACGACCCAAAGTTAATAGTAATAGTAGTAGGTACTAATAATAATATATATAAATAAAAACAATAATTTCATTTTTTTTTGTGCACCCATTTTCATAATAGACTATTTTCATAGCATAGTCCAAGAGGACCACGCTTTCTTTTTGCTCCTTTTATTTGACGTATTAAATGGGGCCTTCTCTTTTATGTTTGCCTTATGCAGCAGGCTATTGTTTATTTGTGTTGGCTGCTTGGCACATCCCCTATATGTGTATGTTATATAAGCATGCCATCCTATTTCATGTGGAGAACATATGTGCTATGAGGTGATATCCATCGATCTTCTCTACAGGTGCCTCTTTAGTTCCCCATCTCTCTCTCTCTACAATTCTCCCTCCAAGTTTATTCCTCTTCAACTCTTGTCCAATTTATTAGGGTTTCACAGTGTCAATATATCAGAAAGATGGATACGGCGACAACGACCAGGTCTTCAAATCCTTCTACTATCTATACCTTTGATTAGTTCTAGTCTTTAGTGGGTTTTTCTGTGGCAGCGTAATGAGTATTGGTATCTTGGAATTGCATCTTAGGATTCTCATTTTTTTTGAAATATATTCATCACCCCCTCATTTACTCTTCCTTGTGAGAATGAAGACTGAAATCATGTAATTTGGTATGTTAAAATGGACGAGATGTCAGGGTTCATGTATATTATCCAAAAACGAATACCATGAAATTGGATTGGAAGTTAGTGGAGAAGTCATTGAGTGAGAAATGGGCAATCGGCCCTGTACTCGACCTGGAACGCCTAAGTCTTACCAGGCCATGTATAAATATGTATTACTTGCTCTGGATCAGTCGAATCGACATCGTTGTGCCCCGACTTGAATCTCTTAGTCCACTTTGAGGGTTCAGACCTAGATATAGTTCAGATCAACCAAACCTGATGAGCAACTGTAAGTGATCTCATTTTCATGTGAAATAATTATTTGAAAACTGGTATCTCCACTTTTAATAAAATTATTATTTTTGTCTATTATTAGGAATTTTAAACACTGTAAATTATTAGAAATAAAATTGATTATTTCTGTCTATTGTTATGAATTCTAGACACTGTAAGTTTTAAGTGTAAGTGATCCCATTCTCCTGAAAAATAGATCGTTTTTAATAAAATTATGATATTTTCGTTCATCATTTTTAAGTGCAAACGATCTCATTTTCCTGTTAAAATTATTATTTTTGTCTACTATTAGAAATTTTAAACATTGTAAATTTTTAGAAATAAAAATTGATTATTTCGTTCTATTGTTATGACTTTTAGACACTGTAAAGTTTATGTGGAAGTGACCTCATTTTCCTATAAAATAATTATTTGAAAACTTGGCACTTTCTCTTTGAATAAAAATATGATATTTTCATCTATTGTTAGGAATTTCAGACATGGTAAATTATTAAAAATAAGCTTATTATTTCTGTCTATCGCTAGGGATTTTTAGACACTATAAATATTAGAATTGAAATTGATTGTTTCTATCCATTCTGATGAATTTAGACACTGTAAGTTTTATGCGTAAATGATTGTATTGTTATGTGAAACAGTTATGTGAATGTTTTGTATTTTCGTTACTAGTAAAATTGTGATACTCTGTTTAGGGTCATGAATTTTAGATGCTATAAATTATGGAATTTTCTTTTTAAGAAGATTATAATCTTGCTATTTATTGTACAAATTCTAGATATTGTAAGAGTAGGTGTAAGTGACTTCTTTTTTCTGTAAGATCAGTATTTGAAGAAAACAAATATTTCTGAAATACTCCCAAAGTATTTCTTCATTTAATCGTAATATTTTCGATATGTTAAAATCGGCGTACATCTGTATTTAATTGTAATATTTGTAGCATAAATCTTAAATATTGTAAATGTCATATGCGATTGTTATGTGCAAGTATTATGTGCAACCGTTATGTACAAATATTCTGTGTAAGTGTTATGTGTAAATTTTATGTACAAGTGGTTATGTACAAGTGGTTATGCGCAAGTGTTATACGCAATTGTTATGAGCAAGTGTTCTGCGCAAATGTTCTGTGCAAGTGTTCTATGCAAGCGTTATGTACAAGTGATTTGTGTAAGTGTTGTGTGCTCTTATTATGTGCAAGTGATTGATAATTTCAAGGATACTTTGAAAACACGATATTATTGTTTTCTGATATCTATTACATTGATATGTGGCCTGTAATTGATACAATAATGTCTTTTGAATTTATGTGCATGGTAATAAGATATGTGTGCATGGCAACATGCTTCTGATATGATATGTGTGCATGGCAGCATGCTTCTGATACGATATGTGTGCATGGCAACATGCTACTGATGAGATCCTATGTGATATGTGCGGATGGGCACATGCTGTGTGATATGATGGGCTGAGCACCTACTGTGTGATTGATGGTGCCAGCAGCTGAGATCTAGGCATCTACTATGTGAATGATGGTGCCGACAGATGAGATCTTTCCCCGACTCTCTGTGATAGGATGAGAATTAAGATGTGAGTGTTTGAGAGGGTCGCGCCCCCCCAAAATTATGTGTGAGGTACTATCCATTGGACCCCTTTGGTAGTGTAATGCCCTCCAGCCAGAAGGGCAAGGAGAGGGTCGTGTCGTGTAAGGCCTCCGCCTATCAAAAGCCCCAAAGTGCGTTGGGAACTATGTGCGTGTGTGAGGTACTACGCAACGGGTTTACCTGTTGGTGGTGCTTCTTCCTATGGGATAGTAGAAGTTCTAACTTTGGACCGAAGTCTGGGACCTGAGATTGGTGCTTCTACTGCAGGACTTTTGTTGTTGTGAATGCCTACTGCAGAACTTCAATTGTTGTGAATGCCTATTGCAGAACTTTTGTTGTTGTGAATGCATACTGCAGGACTTCTGTTGTTGGGAATGCTTACTGCAGAACTTCTGTTGTTGTGATTGCTTGATCGCAGGACTTCTGTTGTTGTGAATGCTTACTGCAGGATTCTGTGGCTGTGAATGCTTGGTTGATTATATCTGATACTTAATGTTGATATTAACATGAATCGTGTCTATATGATTTATGTATCATGTTTATTTACTTCGTCTAATAAGGAATACAGGATATGTGTAAGATCATAAATGAATCTATCTAATAGCATGCATTAGAATGTATGAAATCAATACGGTGAAATTTTGCTTAATATGCATTCTTTAGAAAAGATCTACATTTGTCAATTATGATTATTTTTTTAAGGATAATGATGGTCACTTACTGAGTAGCCAAACTCATCAAACTGTGGTAATTTTTTTTCAGAGTAATCGCAGCAGGAGTAGTTTGGAAGAAGTTTATAGTTATGGATAAATTCGCCTTTGTAACTTTTACAATGTCAAAGTTGTATATATATATAAATCCCCATGTTATTATGAGCTGTGAAATAGACTTTGTACAAGTCTGAAAGTTTGTGAATGGAAAAATTGTTTTGCAACAGTATAATATATAGCAAAAAATTTAGAATTTGTTTTGTTCTTTAATAATAAACTGTCACATCTCAGGAATTTTAGTGTCATAAACTTGGGGTGTGACATCATCGCTTAGCCACACTATAAAAATACCTTCAAATCTTAAGTTAGTAATTGATACCCACTAAACAATTGTTGGAAGAACCAAAAGACCTCAAAATCTGATCTACTTGCATTCTTAAAACAATAATTCTTTATTGTCTGATGATTTTAAGGCATACAATCCTTGCTATGATGTATCCTTCTTTGGGGTATGTTGGCTGTGGCATTTAAACCTTGGAAACTCAATGGCCTAACTACTGAGCTGAGGCGCTGAAACCTAATATGATGCTACACATTCAAAATTC